TGGGGCGCGCGTCTGCAAATCTTCTAAACCCTAAACCCTAAACCCTAAACCCTAAACCCTAAACCCTAAACCCTAAACCCTAAACCCTAAACCCTAAACCCTAAACCCTAAACCCTAAACCCTAAACCCTAAACCCTAAACCCTAAACCCTAAACCCTAAACCCTAAACCCTAAACCCTAAACCCTAAACCCTAAACCCTAAACCCTAAACCCTAAACCCTAAACCCTAAACCCTAAACCCTAAACCCTAAACCCTAAACCCTAACCCTAAACCCTAAACCCTAAACCCTAAACCCTAAACTCTAAACCTCAAAAAAAGTTACCGAAACCCCCATATAGGCCCACCCCTAAACCCCGGACTTGAAGCGCAAACCCTCAAGCCCACTGTCGGAAAGCCGAAACCCTAAAGCCTAACCCTAAACCCTAAACCCCAAACCCCAAACCCTAAACCCTAAAACCCCAAAGCCCTGAACTCCTTAAAGCCAAAACCTTACAGACGTTGAACCCTGAAACTCCATAAGCCCTAACTCCAAGACGCCTTAGAGCCTAAACCCTACGGACCGACCCCTGGGCTCCACTGCCGAGAGTTTAGGGTTTGGGGTTTAGGGTTTGGGGTTTAGGGTTTAGGGTTTAGGGTTTAGGATTTAGGGCTTGGGGTTTAGGGTTTAGGGTTTAGGGTTGAGAAGGTCCTCCCCGCCACCTGCCTCCTTGTAGGGCAAGGGGACCAGCGCCGGCTTCTGCCGCCAGCTTGGTGCCGACGAGGCGCGGTTGACGAACCGGGCATCCTTTTCTGGGGTTTAGGGTTTAGGGTTTAGGGTTCAGGATTCAGGGTTTAGGCGTCAGGAAACCCAAAAACGAAGAAATGACCCACTAGGAAAAGAACGAAGATGTACTCCAATGAGTATTGTTTACGGTTCTTGAGGACCTAGGGCTTCGGGGCTTCTAGACACGGAGCCAACCGAGCGAAGACCCTTTCAGACCCTGAACCCTAATCCCTAACCCTAAACCCTAAACCCTAAACCCTAAACCCTAAACCCTAAACCCTAAGCCCTAAACCAGCAGCCTCCAACTTCGCTGGCTCTCGTGACTATAATCCCATGCAGGCCAAGCCGAAACCTTAAAACCCTAAACTCTGCACCCAAAAACACTATATTTTGGCGGGGGGAGTGGAAGTAGGGTTTAGGATTTCGGTTTCATGGTTTACGATGTGATGTAGGTGTAGGGCTTTAGGGTCCAGGGTTTAGGATGTAAATCCCTAAACCCTAAACCCTAAACCCTAAACCCTGAACCCTAAACCCTAAACCCGAAACCCTAAACCCTAACTCTGAAAGCCCTAAAGGCGTTCTTTCAATGTTTCGGTGCTCGCGGACCTCTCTGGCTGAGGCTCGCGCGAGAAGGTTGCCCAAGACCTGGCATGGGTTTTGGGGTTTAGGGTTTGGGGTTTGGGGTTTGGGGTTTAGGGTTTAGGGTTTAGTGTTTAGGGTTTAGGGTTTGGGGTTTGGGGTTTGGGGTTTAGGGTTTGGGGTTTGGGGTTTGGGGTTTGGGGTTTAGGGTTTAGGGTTTAGGGTTTAGGGTTTGGGGTTTGGGGTTTGGGGTTTGGGGTTTGGGGTTTGGGGTTTACGGTTTGGGGTTTAGGGCTTAGGGATTCTGATTCTTGCTTTGGAGGTTTTGGGGGTTTTGGGGTTAGGGTGTTCAAGGGGTGTAGGGCTTCAGGGGTTTAGGGGGTTCAGGGTTTCCTAAACCCTAAACCCTTAACCGTAGAGAGCTCCACAATTTTGTGCACCGGCTCTGTCGACGTGTGGCGAGACCACATCACGCCGAACCTCGCAAACAGATGACCCTGGGTAGCTGCCCAACGCCTTTGCGCAAGTTGATCTTCGGGCCTCTCCTCACCCTAAACCCTAAACCCTAAACCCTAAACCCTAAACCCAGCATGAGGTTCTCCTCTAGAACCACTTGACAAGGCGTCCTCCTCATGCCCGAGTGGGCACAGGGGATCGCGGGAGGGCTCATCCCGCAAACTCGCAGGGTTTAGGGTTTAGGGTTTAGGGTTTAGGGTTTAGGGTTTTGGGTTTTGGGTTTAGGGTTTAGGGTTTTAGGGCTCAGGGTTGAGGTTTGAGGCTCTTAGAGCTCAGGACTTGGGGTTCTGGGGTTCAGGAGCCTTCGCCAATTCCCCCCTAAACCCTAAACCTAAGCAAACCCTAAACCCTAAACCCTAAGCCCTAAACCCTAAACCCTAGCCCTAAACCCTAAACCCTAAACCCTAAACCCTAAACCCTAAACCCTAAACCCTAAACCCTAAGCCCTAAACCCTAAACCCTAAACCCTAAACCCTAAACCCTAAACCCTAACTTCGGCGCGCCGACCCGGGCTGCAAGGATGGCGTCCTCGCAGATTCCTCCGCGGAGGCACTCGAAGGATGCTCAGAGTGATACCTTTAGGGTTTAGGGTTTAGGGTTTAGGGTTTAGGGTTTCGGGTTTAGGGTTTAGGGTTTAGGGTTTAGGGTTTAGGGTTTAGGGTTTAGGGTTTAGGGTTTCGGGCTTAGGGTTTAGGGTTTAGGGTTTAGGGTTTAGGGTTTAGGGTTTAGGGTTCAGGGTTTACGATTTAGGGTTTAGGGTTTAGGGTTTAAGGTTTAGGGTTTAGGGTTTAGGGCTTAGGGTTTAGGGTTTAGGGTTTAGGGTTTAGGGTTTAGGGTTTCCCTTAACCCGGGGCCAACATCTCCATGAACCCTCGATGGCCAGAGGGTTTGAAAGCTTGGACGACCACCTGACGTGGCTTCTGAACCCGGAGCCAAAGACGCCTAAGCCCCACGACTTGGGATGCGCCCACGAAGACTAACAGCCCTTGATAGGATTAAAGTACTCCATATTATTTTCCCTATTAAGGACGGCTAGTAACTGTCAGTAAAAGGGGGAACATCCCAACCCACGACCCTTACCGACTTCTGCGGCCCTTAGTCCTAGATAGAGGGGCATTCTTGCGTCGCAGTTCCGTTAAAGTTAACAGCTGAGCCCCAAAACCCTGAGCCCAAACACACACGTTAGGGTTCAGGGTTTAGGGTTTAGGGTGTAGGGTTTAGGGTTTAGGGTTTAGGGTTTAGGGTTTAGGGTTTAGGGTTTAGGGCTTAGGGGTTAGGGTTTAGGGTTTAGGGTTCTGAAACCCCAAAGCCCCAGCGGTCCAATTCGCTTCGTCAGCTGCCGCACTTGAGCCTCGTGCTCCGCCGCCTTCTTCAAGATCGCCTGCGGGTTCGGGGTTTGGGGTTTAGGGTTTAGGGTTCAGGATTTAGGGTTTAGGGTTTCGGGTTTAGCGAAGCAGGCCAATCGCGCGAGGCCACAGCGGTTCTGGGATATCTGGGATGAGGTGCGTCGTGACGTGGCGTACCAGCAGCATGTGGGCAGCATCGTCTTGGGCCTCCACAGGGCCATCGGACGTGCTTCGTGCAGGGCAAAACGCAAGCAGCGTGAGCCGGCTGACGTCGAGCTGCAGGTGGTGCCACCTGTGCCGGATGAAAAATCTCTGACGTGCCCCGTGGTCCCTGAGCGAGATTTGGCCACTGTTTTCGCCAAGTTTGGAAGGCCTTATGTGATGGTCTTAAGCAACTGGCTCCGTTTGGTCACTGGCGCTGGTGGCGTTGTAGCTGCTCGACCCCGCTGGGTTTCTCTGGCACAACTTTACCTTGCATTCCGACATGCCACGGGAATGGAGATACCATTTTATAGGCAGTCTTCGAAGGCATGGTACTCAACGGCCCCAGGGCCAGAGGAGATGTTGCGTGAGGTTCCCCTAGGTCAGCGAGCAACTTGGTTTTTGACCCAGGTCAAGGCCGTGGTCAAAGCTGCTGGTGGAAACTGGTACACTCAGGAGACCCGGCCGTCTTCTGCCATTCTCCAGTGCCGCCTCCTTTCCGTCTACATGCGCTTCCCGGCAGAGCAGTTGGAGGCTGTGGAGTCGCTTTTGGCAGCAAGGCTGGGACGTGAATGCCAACGACATGATCGCAGATGGGCTGCCCTAACTTCGTTGTGATCGCTTTGATTTATGATTTCGTGTTTCTTGGAGCCTCGAGGCTTATTCCTAGTCTTTCGCCCAAGGCGTCGGATTGGCGCAAGCGCCGCCATAGTTGCTACGCTTGAGCTGTTATGGAAAGGGTGGAAAGGATGTAGGGTTTGGGGTTTAGGGTTCAGGGTTTGGGGTTTAGGGTTCGGGGTTTGGGGGCTAGCTTCTGGGCCGCTTACTCCAACGCACTATAGAAAGGTTTAAGTTTAGGGTTTAGGGTTTAGGGCTTAGGGGTTAGGGTTTAGGGTTTAGGGTTTAGGTTTAGGGCTTAGGGTTCAGGGCTCTTATCCTGCAACCCCTGCCGCGTCAGCTCTTTTTTGAACCGATCACCACGGCATCGTTTTGTCCAGCAGGTCCGGAGCTCTTTGGGCTTATCAGCCCTAAACCCTAAACCCTAAGCCCTAAACCCTAAACCCTAAACCCTGAACTTTCTACTTTCTAAACCCTAAGCCCTAAGCCCTAAACCCTAAACCCTAAACCCTGAACCCTAAACCCACCAAACGAGAATCCTAAGAAAGCTTTGGCACCACAGGAGCTTAGAGATTCGGGTTTAGGGCTTAGAGCTTAGGGTTTTGGGTTTCGGGTTTCGGACTTAGGGGTTAGGACTGAGGCTCAGGGTTTCGGGTATTCCGGGTCTTCGGTTTAAAGCTTAGGGCTGAAGTTTGGGGCCTGGTGGTTGAGGAACCCTAAACCCTAAACCCTAAACCCTAAACCCTAAACCCTAAACCCTAAACCCTAAACCCTAAACCCTAAACCCTAAACCCTAAACCCTAAACCCTTTCGGCCTTCGGGGCCACGGCACCCGCGGAGCCCTTCATACCCCCCCAAAATAGGGCTTCGGCTTGGGGCTTGGGGTTTAGGGTTTAGGGTTTAGGGTTTAGGGTTTGGGGTTTGGGGTTTGGGGTTTAGGGTTTAGGGTTTAGGGTTCCGGGCCTCCCCTCCCCCACTAAAGCCCCACGTTTGAGGACATGGAGGGCTGCCCTCCCAACTTCAGCACTCCGTGGCAGATGCCGCCTTTGGACTTCACCTCCCATGGGGTGTGGGATTTAGGGTTTAGGGTTTAGGGTCTAGGGTCTAGGGGTTGAGGGTTTACGGGTTGAGGGTTAGAGGTTTAGGGATTCTGGGCATCCGACTAAGCAAAGGGGGTGATGTTGGCTAGACTCAAGAGCTAGGATCATGAAAGTACTGTAATCCTGACTGAAACTGTCATTAGACCCCCTACTTATGTCCTCATAAACTAGGGCGTTGTCGAAACGATTTCATGTCCCATGAGAGTCGTTTACCCCTAGAGCCCAAAAAGCCTACCGGGGGATTGCAGCCTATTGGGGCTTCGGGTTTCTGAGATGCAGCGGTTTGGGCTCTTCTAGGTTTTGAGGTTTGCTTCGAGAATTTGGAGCTTGTGAACGAGTCAACTTGAGAGTTTGAGGCGGTGGGCCGTGGTGGTTCAGGGTGTTGGGGCTGTTTGGCTCTAGGGCTTAAGTCTATGTGCTGTTCAGGGTCTAGGGTTTAGGGTTTAGGGTTTTAGGGGTTTAGGGTTTTTAGGGTTGTTAGGGTTTTAAGGGCTTAGGGTTTAGGGCTTGGGGTTTCAGGGTTGGTGTTTGGGCCTCTGCCAGGAGAAGAAAGGGTACCCCTTTGGATTAATCGGGTGTAAGGGATTCTGTCCAAGCATGGCCCTTGAAACCCTCTGAAACAAAGTCCTGAATCTGTAGGGTTTAGGGTCTAGGGTTTAGGGTCTAGGGTGCAGGGTTCAGGGTTTAGGGTTTAGGAGGGGATATTTTGGGCTTGGGGTTTGGGATCTAAGGTTTACCAGAACAACGCTCAAGGGCTTGGGGTTGAGGGCCAAAAGCCACGTCACCAGCTCCAGCCGTCGTGTGTGGCAGGCCACCAGGCCCGGCCGATGACCCACGGAGACCTTCGTAAGACCCCACCCCAAACCCCAAACCCCAAACCCTAAACCCTAAACCCGAAACCCTGAACCCTGAACCCTGAACCCTGAACCCTAAACCCTAAACCCTAACCCTAGCCACCTCCTCTCAGGCTCCCTCCAATGGTTTACGGCATGTTGGGGCCATATGGAGCCCTAAACGCACTCAAGCCCCAAAAGACCTTCCCAGGACTCAAGGAGGCTAGGGTCAGAGGGTGGGGTGCTCCAGCTGCAGGACTTGAGTTTCAGGACTTCAGGGCTCTTTATCCCTAGGTTGGACTTTGGGCCTAAGAGGTTTTGGTGGAGGACCTTCCTAGTGTCTGCTCTAAAGCCTGTTAAGGCATAAGCTGAAACTAGCTCTACTTGGTAGCCCAGCAACCATATCATATTCTATTCAGGGCGTGTTCTCATTTGTGTTCTATTTCTTTTGGTTTTTTTTTTGGGGGGGTCACTTTATAAGGGAACCTTGAACCCAAAAAAGTGAAAAGGGTGCCACTGGCCCTTTCGCAAAGCTTCAAGGCTTGAAGGCTTGAGGGCTTGAGGGTTTAGGGTTTAGGGTTTAGGGTTTAGGGTTTAGGGTTTAGGGTTTAGGGTTTAGGCTTTAAGGGTTTAGGGTTTAGGGTTTAGGGTTTAGGGTTTAGGGTTTGGGGTTTGGGGTTTGGGGTTTGGGGTTTGGGGTTTGGGGTTTAGGGTTTAGGGCTTCTACGCGCTCAACAGTCCGTACCAGCGTCCGTTGTACTGGCTAGCGGCTCGGAAGTGCCTTGAGCACCCCAAAACCCCACACCGAAACGGGTGCCAGTCTTTGTCTGCAAGTCTACGGACTCAATGCACCTCACCCCTAAACCCTAAACCCTAAACCCTAAACCCTAAACCTCCCCAACTACACTCCAGACCTTGCCGGTGCTTCTTTCAAGATTCAAGGGGGAGGTCCCAAATGTGGGTGTGCAAGGCGTTTATAAGGGGTGTGCAAGGGTGTTAAGGGCTACAAAAAGGTGCCTGAAGTTGAATCTGGGTCTACCGAAAGGGATATAGATTTATGGGTTAGGGCTTAGGGTTTAGAGTTCCCAAACCCTAAATCCCAAACCCTAAACCCTAAACCCTAAACCCTAAACCCTAAACCCTAAACCCTAAACCCCTCCAAGCAAATGAACCTTTCTTTGCTTAGCGGGGGTTTGTAACCCTAGAGCCCTAAGTCCTGACACTAAAGCCCCAAAACCCTACAACCCCAAACCCTAAAACCCTGCAAGCCTCAAACCCAAATCCCCTGAAGCCCAGGGGCGTAGCAGCCGACATGCCTCCGCACAAGCTCATACGCCGTCCGCTCGTTCGCCTCCCCAGGATTGAAGGCTTAGGGTTTAGGGTTTAGGGTTTACGGTTTAGGGTTTAGGGTTTAGGGCTTAGGGTTTAGGGTTTAGGCTTTAGGGTTTAGGGTTTAGGGTTTAGGATTTTCGGGCTTCGGGGGGCTTCGGGGTTCAGGAAGTTCAGGGGGTTGGAGGGGGCTTAAGTTCGGGGGTTTAGGGTTTAAGGGTTTAGGGCTTAGGGTTCAGGGTTTAGGGTTCAGGGTTTAGGGTTTAGGCTTTAGGGTTTAGGGTTTAGGGTTTAGGGTTTAAGGGTTTAGGGCTTAGGGCTTAGGGTTCAGGGTTTCCTGAAGCCCGCGGAACCCCGACGAACCTCGTCTAGGGCGGAAGTCGATTCGTCCAGGATAGCCAGGTCCACGTTGGGATGGAGCAGCAGCCTCTGAAGGAGGGCTTAGGTTTAGGGTTTAGGGTTTAGGGTTTAGGGTTTGGGGTTTAGGGTTTAGGGTTTAGGATTCAGGGTTTAGGGGTTTAGGGTTTACCCGTCCCCTCCAGCCCTCGATTACTCTGGCGCGGCGCGGAAACATGCAGAATGCGCGCTCACACACAACGAATGCCATTGCAGTCATCAACCTTGACACTCGCGCACATTTCTGCCAACCAAAACCGTAGACCCTCAAACCCTAAGCCCTAAACCCTCAAACTTAAACCCTAAACCTTGGGAAGTTTCCCCTTATAAGAACAGTCCTTAAAGGGATTCTAGTACCCCCTACTATAATCCCTATTAAGCACAACTAGTGTAAGGGGGAACATCCCAACCCAAACCCTGAAACTGAACAGCAAGCAATGGTTGGCAATAAGCCGATGCCTTTGAGGCCTAGGGTTGACATTGAGACTTGGAAGCCCTTCTGACTTAGTAGGGTTTAGGGTCTAGGGTTTAGGCTTTAGGTTTAGGGTTTAGGGTTTAGGGTTTAAGGTTTAGGGTTTAGGGTTTAGGGTTTAGGGTTTAGGGTTTAGGGTTTAGGGTTGAGGGTTTAGGGTTTAGGGTTTAGGGTTTAGGGTTTAGGGTTTAGGGTTTAGGGTTTAGGGTTTAGGGTTTAGGGTTTAGGGTTTAGGGTTTAGGGTTCGGTTTTAAGTCTACATAGTAACCCCCAGAAACCCTACTATAATTCCCATAACCCATTTTGCTTACCCTACTTACTGAGTCAAAAGGTTGTCCAAGTACACGATAAACCCTAAACCCTAAAGCCTGAACCCTAAACCCTGAACCCTAAACCCTTAAGTTCAGTTGTTCAAGGCTTAGGAAGTCCCCAGAACCATCAATCTGCACACAAATTCAACCCTAAACTTCAAAACCCTTTGGGCAAGCTCCCATAAGCCGGAACCGAAACCAAAAGACCACAACTTTAGCTGGATCTCAAGGGTTTGGCTTTCTCAACCCTAAACTAAAAGCCGTGAACCCCAACAGGGAATAGCAGCCCATGCGTCTTTGCTTTGTGTGGCTTATAAACCCTCAACTCTGAACTCTGAACAAGGGAACCCAAGCCAAACAAAAAAGGACAAAAGGGGGTACCACCAACACAAAAAACCGAGACTCATGCGAATCAGCGTCTCGGGTTTGGAGTTTAGAGTTTAGGGGTTGAAAGCTTGTGGATTCTCCTAAACCCTAAACCCTAAGCCCAAAGGCGCAAAATCATATTCTGAACCCTCAGGACCAACCCTAAACCCTAAACCCTACACCCTAAACCCTGAACACACCCTACACCCTAAACCCTAAACCCTAAACCCTAAACTCTAAACCACCCTGAAAGAGCATTGGCCTCGCCAGGTTGAGGCGTTGCCGCTCGCCCCCTGAGAGGATCTTCTGCAAGTCCACCTCCTGGCAAGTTCGGTGCTCTGAGACAGGGGAAAAATGGTTTAGGGTTTAGGGTTTAGGGTTTAGGGTTTAGGGTTTAGGGTTTAAGGTACTCCTATTTGAGAAATGCCAGCCGCAGACAGCATGCCGAGGTCAGCTCGTGGGTTTTGGGGCGTGTGAAAAGCGACAATACCTACTGAGAACAAAAAGGCAGAAACGAACTCCCAGCCAAAAAACACAGCGAACACAGCCCAACTCTAACGCAAGCGAGCCCATTCATGCGATGGCCAGTGACAAAGTGAAGGGTTCAGGGTTTAGGGATTTAGGGGTTTAGGGTTTAGGGTTTAGGGATATGGGATTTAGGGTTTAGGGTTTAGGGTTTAGGGTTTAGGGTGTAGGATTTAGGGTTTAGGGTTTAGGGTTTAGGGTTTAGGGTTGCATTAGGGTTTAGGGCTAGAAGCCACAGATGCCTTTTGTCTGCGGACTTTTGTTACTTGAACCACAGTCTTCTACACAATCCCAGGATGACAACGCAGCTCGCTGCAGTGAATGCCCATCTGACCACGAGCCTCAGCACGAAATCTGCGTCGGCATCAGTTTGAGCGACCAGGACAGCTGCAGAACCATTTCTCTCCGCCCCCCCCAAAACAAGGGACTTGAGAGCCCAAAAAGCAAGGCTAGCGTCCTGCGGGACCTTTGCAATCATGGGAAACGAAGCCTTTTCGGCTTCATGTCATCTTCGCAAGCCTACTTGCAGCGTCGGATTTGCAACAATTATGCAGCGCTCATTTGACTCCAAATTACCAGATCTGACCAACTGCTTGCGCTGCGATTCTGTCGAACATTGCCGGCAGGGGTTTCTTAATTGATCTTGCAATAGCTATCATGTGTAAAACGGATTTTGGGTGGTTGCCTGTAAACAAAACCTACCAAAGATGGAACAAACTTTCAAGAGCGGTCCCGGTGATGTGTTGAAGGTTGAGGGCTTTTGGTCTAGGTCCTTGGGTTTATGGACTTGCGCTTAGAGCTCAGGGCCTTGGATTTGAGTGTGCTAAAACTCCACCGTGCCGAAACCGAAGAAAATGCGAACCCATGAGCCTTTAAACTTTTCTGGCAGCGGGTTTAGGGTTTAGGGTTTAGGGTTTAGGGTTTAGGGTTTAGGCTTTGGGCTTTGGGCTTTAGGCTTTAGGCTTTAGGCTTTAGGCTTTAGGCTTTAGGCTTTAGGCTTTAGGCTTTAGGCTTTAGGCTTTAGGCTTTAGGCTTTAGGCTTTAGGCTTTAGGCTTTAGGGGCTTTAGGCGCTCAGGTCCTCATCCATGCCGAAGGACTCGGGGAGGTGGCCAATGTTCCTCAGGGCTTGTTCAGGCTGAGCGATTGCAGCCCTCAGCACCTGACCCTGCGACCCTAAACCCTAAACCCTAAACCCTAAACCCTAAACCCTAAACCCTAAACCCTAAACCCTAAACCCTAAACCCTAAACCCTCATTCCTTGGGCCCCCCCCCCTCCCCCATTTGTGGTTTACCCCGCAAAGGTTGTGAAATTTGGAGTGCCACGGCTAGGTTTAGGATTCTGGGGCCAAGAGTTTTTAAGGCCTAAGGTTCCCAGGATGGAAGATTGGGGCTTACGGATTGGGGAGAGCGGTTTAGGGTTTAGGGTTTAGGGTTTAGGGTTTAGGGTTTAGGGTTTAGGGTTTAGGGTTTGGGGTTTCGAGGATTGAAGGGTAGGGCTGAAAGATTGGGGGGTTGTTACATTGTTGGTGTCTAAGGGAGCCGCAACGAAGTGGGATCCCTGCACCTGGAGAACCCCCCCCTCCCCCCTCATGCATCACAGCTGATCGTGCCGATGGCTATTTTCCCTAGGCCCTAAACCCTAAACCCCATACCCTAAACCCTCACCCTACTTGCAAGCTCTTTGGCCTAGTCTGTCTACTAGTCTACTTAGTATGCCCCAGAACCCAGAAGCCCTACTATAATCACCATAACCCACCTTACTAACCCTACTTACGAAGTCAAAAGGGCTTACCCTAAACCCTAAACCCTAAACCCATTTAAACCCTAAACCCTAAACAGGGTATTCTTCAGCAGGGCTGTAGGCTCGCCTGCCAAAGCAATACCTTTCAATACCTCAATGAAGAGATGTTCCTTGAACCATATGGGGGTGAGCGAAATTCTGGGGCACCTTTTTGGGGTCCTTTGTGTAATGGAATCCCTGATTTTCGTAAACCCCATAATACTGAGATCAAAACTTAAGGAACCCTCCTTGCTGGAAATTCTTCGAGTCTCGACTCCTACATCCCCGATACCTCAGCCCTAGTCCTTGAGCCCCCTAACAAGCCCCCCTAACAAGCCCCTAAACCCTTAACCTAAAGCCCTGGCCCTAAAGCCCACCTTAAAGTACTAAAGCCCTAAACCCTAAACCCTAAACCCTAAACCCTAAGCTTGAAACCCTCAACTGTAAGCTTTGCCCCGAAGAACAAAGGACCAAAGCCCAGGTGCAGTGATTGCAACACCTCCAGGATGGCTTGATCGCTGGGCTCCTGGGGTTTAGCGTTTAGGGTTTAGGGTTTAGGGTTTAGGGTTTAGGGTTTAGGGTTTAGGGCTTAGGGCTTAGGGCTTAGGGCTTAGGGCTTAGGGCTTAGGGCTTAGGGCTTAGGGTTTAGGGTTTAGGGTTTACGGTTCGGGGGGCAGGGGGAGGGGGAGTATCCTTTTTTCCGGGCTCTGCCCTGAAGCACCCGAACTCAACTACTCCTTAGAGAACCTGCCCATCTGAGATTGTGGCTTGAGGAATATGAGGGACTATTGGCATCTGCCAAAATATGGGACCAACAAACCTTGTGATAGGAACGCTTCGGGTTCACAGAATTAAACGAAGGTCCCTTGAACACTTGCGAACAGCACCCGTCTACCTAGGTTCCATGATTTTAGACTACGGCGACGGGGGTTTAGAGCTCAGCGCCCTGAAATCATGCGACCCCAAACCCTGAACCCTAAACCCTAAACCCTAAACCCTAAACCCTAAACCCTAAACCCTAAGTTTGGGCCTCTTGTCCCTCCCGGCGCGGGTACAGGAGGTTGTCTCCTTGGCAGGGGTCTGGAGGCGCGTCTCCAAAGTTTGGGGCTTAGGGTTTAGGGTTTAGGGTTTAGGGTCTAGGGTTTAGGGCTTAGGGCTTAGGGTTTAGGGTTTAGGGTTTAGGGTTTAGGGTTTAGGGTTTAGGGTTTAGGGTTTAGGGTTTAGGGTTTGGGGCTTTGGGCTTAGGGTTTAGGATGTAGGGTATAGGGTTCAGGGGTTAGGGTTCAGGGGTTTAGGATCAGAGTTCAGGATCTAGGCTTGTTTGGGGTTTAGGTGTTAGGGATTCGCGTCTAGTAGGGTTCAGGCCCAGCAGTATCCAAACGCCCTGGACCCTGAAACCCTGACACCCAAAACAGCAATTGCCCTCAACCCTAGCACCCAGAAGCCCATGACAACCCGGGGGTAGGATCCCCAAACCCTTAACTGTAAACCCTAAACGGCTTCGGGTTCTGAAGTTATAGGGCAACTTAGGTATATAGGGTTTAGGGTTTAGTTTAAGGGACCATGCACGGCATGTATATGCTTGGGGCTATATAGGCCCATACCCTAAAGCCTGAAACCCCAAAAAAACCAAGACCTACAACCCTAATCAAACCAAAAGACCCCAGGAAAAACAGGACTTGACAACCCCAAACCCTAAAACCTTAACGCCTTAGCCCACGCACCTACCCACCCACCCACCCACCCACCCACCCCGGCAGCGACGCTGCACCACACATAGTCCCTCTGGCTATCACTGAACTGCAGTTCAGGGCTCGCAAGGAGCCCAGGCAAATGTAAGGCGTCTGTGGCACGAAGAAGCACCTTGGGCAGAGGTTGTTCAGGGTTCATGGTTGAGGGCTGCGGGTTTGGGTTCTAGAGGCAAGTCTTTCCAGGGACTTACGTGGATAGTTCTTATTGCAGGGTCAACCTGAAACCCACAAGCCTAAACCAGGAAGCTATTCATCTACCAAATTCTAAAGGGGGTTGTCATCTACAAAAGAAGGCAACCCTAAACCCTAGCCTAAACCCTAAACCCTAAACCCTAAACCCTAAACCCTAAACCCTAAACCCTAAACCGTGGGTGAGAGGTTGGCTTTGGGCACAGGCGGAAGAAGGGCGTTGGGCAGGGTAGGGATTCAGGGCTGCTTGCGTGGCGAGAAAGGCACCTTGGGACCCCAAGAACTCCCAAAGCTGGGAGTGTAGTTTAGGTTTAGGGTTTAAGGGTTAGGGTTTAGGGTTTAGGGTTTAGGGTTTAGGGTTTAGGGTTTAGGGTTTAGGGTTTAGGGTTTAGGGTTTAGGGTTTAGGGTTTAGGGTTTAGGGTTTAGGGTTTAGGGTGTAGGGTTTAGGGTTTAGGGTTTAGGGTTTAGGGTTTAGGGTTTAGGGTTTAGGGTTTAGGGTTTAGGCCGGTTCAGGCTTTAGGGTTCGAGTACCTCGGGGCTTAAAGCAAGGGAGTGTAGCTCAGGGTCCAGTGAGTAGAGTTTCAAGCCATGGGCCAGGCCTCTCGAGCGGCGTCCGTCGGATGGTGCCGTGCCCACGGACCCAGAGGCCTCGTGCTTTCTGAAACCCCCAACCCTCAATCGGCCCTAGTAGCTTCATGGGGCTTTGGGGCTTGGGGTTTAGGGTTTAGGGTTTAGGGTTTAGGGTTTTGGGTTTAGGGTTTAGGGTTTAGGGTTTAGGGTTTAGGGTTTAGGGTTTAGGGTTCCCTTCCAAACACTGCTACACGAAGAAGTGAGCGGGCTGTGGGGCTTAGGATTTATATAGGCTTCGTTGTTCCTAGGCCCTGGAAGTACCACATAGGGGGTAACATCTATACTCACACATGTATTCTATTTCCTAACTTCTACTTGCATGTTTAGGCTAAGACTGATCCTTGGCCCGTAAAACTCTAGGAGACCCCTAGCCTCAATCCGATGGGGAGGGGGTACCTTGTAGATGGCGTTCACAGTATCACTCCGTCACAAATGGGGGTCCCCAAAAGCCGGCCCTAGTCGAAGCCATATACAGATGCTACCGGGCATATCTGAATTAAACCCTAAATCCCAAACCCAAAACCCCAAACCCAACACGCAACCCTAAACCCTAAACCCTAAACCCTAAACCCCATTTGTAAACCCTGAGCCCTTGAAACAACCAGAGCGCCTGCGATGGCTCGCAGGAGCGAGGATTTCCCAGAGCCGCTGGCGCCTTCGACAAGCAGGGACCTCGAGAGGAGAGGGTTTAGGGTTTAGGGTTTAGGGTTTAGGGTTTAGGGTTTAGGGTCTAGGGTCTAGGGTTTAGGGTTTAGGGTTTAGGGTTTAGGGGGTTTAGGGGGTTTAGGAGGTTTAGGAGGTCTAGGGGGTTTAGGGGGTTTAGGGGGTTTAGGGGGTTTAGGGGGTTTAGGAGGTTTAGGGGGCGAGGGGGTTTAGGGGGTTTAGAGGGTTTAGGGTGTTTAGGGGCTTGGGGCTTGGGGGTGGGGTTCAGGGGTTTAAGACTGAGGGGTTTGAAGCGGGCATGCCGCCACCAGAAAAGACAGAATAATCCCTCAGCCTTAAACCAATCCTCCCTCTAAAGAACGCAAGCGGCTCGGGGGTTTCAAGGGTTTAGGGTTTAGAGTTTAGGGTTTAGGGTTTAGGGTTTAGGGTTTAGGGTTTAGGGTTTAGGGTTTAGAGGTTAAAAGGTGCGGGGTTTGGGGTTTAGGGCGTAGGCTCTTGCGAGCCATGAAAGCACACTTCTGCTCGAGCCCTTCTGTGCTCCCCATGCCAAGACCCTCCACCCCTAGACTCCAACATCCCTGAAATCAGGAAGATTACGCAGAATATGCACTGGAAGGTGATTCCAGGGCAGATTCCTTAACATGCAAGAGTAACCTGGGAAGAGAAACGGTGCCCTTTTCGGTTTTCAAGGGGCTAGGAACCTAAACCCAAACAAAGGGAAGTGAGGGCGCCTACTCTGGGCCCTAAACAAGTTGTGACCACATGAAGGGACCATAGAACTCCCCTTAGATAGCGCTTCTAGCTATAGCTTCGAAGCCCGACCCTACGACCCTAACCCTAAACCCAAAAGCAAAGGGAATAAGGGCCTACTCTCTTGGCTGCACTCAGGAGGGTAGCTATAAAGCTGCCTGAATAAGAAACCCAATAAACCCGGTAAGGATCTAAAGTTACAGTAAAGTACCACAAAGCTCTGGGTCCGATAAGCCTATCACCCTAGGGTCCTAGACAAGTACTTGGAGGTTCATGGTACTTGTCAACCAATAATAACTGGACTTACAACTGTACTTATAACCTTATTGGCGTATAAGTGGGTCATAAGTACAGTTATAACTGTTTAATAAGTACCCAAACCCTAAGCCCTAAACCCCAAACCCCTAAACCCCCAAACCCTAAACCTGAACCCTTGGGTAATAAATACCATGAACCTCCAAGCAAGGGGAACTTTCGTCTCAGGGAAACCCCGAATCCCAACCAGCGGCAAGATGGAGGGAGTTTCTGAGTGCGGGCCACATGGAGCCCCGGGCCCTGAAAACCCTAAACCCTAAACCCTAAACCCTGGACCCTGAGCCTTTAAGGCCTGAACACATACGAAAGCGCAACCCACCCAGCAGCCTACTTGGAGGTTCATGGTACTTGTTAAGCAAGCATAACTGTACTTATAACTGTACTTCTAACCATATTAGGGCACTTAAGGGGCTTGTAAGTGGGTGGCAAGTACAGTTAGAATTGGTTCATAAGGACCATGAACCTCCAAGCAAACCCCCACATCTGTCCCAGCCGCTCGCCCGCGTGGAGGCTCAGAGAAAGGTCTCGCAGGGAGGAGGCATGGAGCTGGGGCTTCGGGTTTGGGGTTTAGGGTTTAGGGTTTAGGGTCTGGGGTTCGGGGTTTAGGGTTTAGGGTGCAGGGCTTAGGGTTTGGGGTTTGGTTTAGGGTTTAGGGTCTAGGGTCTAGGGTCTAGGGTCTAGGGGTTAGGGGTTAGGGTTTAGGGTTTAGGGTTTAGGGTTTAGGGTTTAGGGTTTAGGGTTTAGGGTTTAGGGTCTAGGGTCTAGGGTTTAGGGTCTAGGGTTTAGGGTTTAGGGTTTAGGGTTTAGGGTTTAGGGTTGAGGCTTCAGAGACCCTAAACCAAAGAGAGAGACTTGGGGCGACTCCCGGCTGGCAACATCCCCCCACAACCCCCCACCCCCCCTTCCCCCAACTTCATTAGGCCGCCCCGCCCGGAAACCAGACCCCCCAAACCCAAAAATCAAAAATGTTAGCCCCTACATAACCCGGTCATGTTGCGCACAAGGCGCCTGTCCTGAATGACCTCCAGCCAGACGTCGGGCTCGTTCAAGATCCTTGGCGCAGACACGAAGAATCCCAGTCCGCCATATTCGCAAAGCTTTTGTCCTCCGGCGTTTCATCCTGCACCTTCGCCGATCGCCTGCCCCTGTTCGCGCCCACCAGATGAGCGAAATCGCCAATCCTGGCGGCTCTTGGCAGGCAGGTTTTGATGGCTTTGGACAGCCCTCGATGGAAGTCGCCGGAGATCGACGTCACCCGGCTCTCATCCAGGCCGAAAGAGTCCGCAAGTGTCTGCAAGAGGCTCTTGAAAAGCATCTCATACGGGCGGCTGCCCTCTTTATTGCAAAGACAGAACAGCAGCTCCTTGTAGGTTGTTGTTTCAGGAGACCCGACAGGACGCGACATCGGCTGCTCCTTCACCAGCGCGCCAAGGGTCAGCAGACAATAAGGACCTTCGGAAAGCCTCCACGTCCCGTCCGTGCATAAGGCCATGTCACGAAGGAGCGCACAAGTGGCACCCGGGATTACACAGGTCAGTAGCGAACGATGGTTAGGTTTTCTTTCAGCTAAACCCTAAACCCTAAACCGTACACCCCTAAACCCTGAACCTTGAACCCCAAACCTCAAACCCCTTAAATGGCCCGAGTAGTCTCCACCTTACTGTATCAAAGACCCACCCGATATAGCACGCACTCACCTCGATATGGAGCACGGTTTATATTCCTTGTATCCCCAAAAGGACACCGAATATATACACTCACCAATATTAAAAAGGAACCTTTTACACATTCACCAATAGCAGCAATATAAACCCTGTTTCATATGGAGCTAGGGAAGAACTTGAAAGGGTTCGTTTCATTTCTAGGGTAAACAAGGCATTTAAAAGTATAAAGAATCATGCGTACAGGATATATAATGAGTAGCCCTAAACCCTAAACCCTAAAGCACCCTTTAAGGGGCCCCCACGCAGGAAGGGGCCTATGACCTTCCAGAGCCCTCAAACCCGAACACCAGAACAAGCCTGAAACCCTAACTGTACAAGTCGCCTGGGGCAAACTGCATGCTCCGGAGTTTAGGGTTGAGGGTTTGCGGTTTAGGGTTTAAGCCTTAGCGTGCCAAAACTAAGCATCTCAGCCCGAAAGCCTTCCTTGAGTAGCCAAACATTCTGGGGCTGCAGGCCTTCCATCAGTGGCGAACTGCTGAGCGGAGGGAGCAACGACAGCTCTGCTACCTGCAGTTTCAACCCTAAACCCTAAACCCTAAACCCTAAACAGGGGGTGCGGCCTTAGCTTCAGAATTTTGCTTCCAAGGTTTCGGGGGAAGGACTCCTGAATCTGAAAATTTCTTGAGCCGAGGCCCCGACCCCCAGCGCCGCAACTCGCTGAAGAAGCACAAAAAACCCTAAAACCCTAATTAGGGTTTAGGGTTTAGGGTTTAGGGTTTAGGGGTTTAGGGGTTTAGGGGTTTAGGGGTTTAGGGGTTTAGGGGTTTAGGGGTTTAGGGGTTTAGGGGTTTAGGGGTTTGGGGGTTTAGGGGTTCAGGGTTTAGGGTTTAGGGTTTACCCTAAACCCTAGTTCAACTTCTTCTGATGAATGGTGCTCGAAAGGAGCTGAGCCCTCGAAACGAAGGGCAAGCCGGTGTTCTTGGGGGGGGAACTACGACAGCTCCCCTAAACCCTAAACCCCAAACCCTAAACCCCAAACCCTAAACTAAATCCTAAACCCTAGACCCTAAACCCTAAACCCTAAACCCCAAACCCTAAACCCCAAACCCTAAACCCTATACCCATAAAGTCCTGCAGCCGATAAGGCAAAACCGAAGCCTTATAGCCCCGAGCCCCGGGCTGCTGGGGTTCTGCTGGTGTTCGGGTTTAGGGTTTAGGGTTTAGGGTTTAGGGTTTAGGGTTTAGGGTTTAGGGTTTAGGGTTTAAGGTTTAGGGTTTAGGGTTTAGGGTTCAGGGTTCAGGGTTGAGAGTTTCGGTTTTAGTGGTTCAGGGTTTACGGTTTTTCAATACTGGGGCTGAGCGGGCTAGAAGAAGGTGCTAACAAGCATAGAGTTGAGGTGCTGAGGATCCAGGGTTGAGGGTTTAGGGTTTAGGGTCTTTAGGGTTTAGGGTTTAGGGTTTAGGGTTTAGGGTTTTGGGTTTAGGGTTTAGGGTTTAGGGTTTAGGGTTCAGCGAAAAGTGCCTGCAGCCGCAACGTATCCGATCGTGGGTCGATGTCCTCAAGCTGCACTTGCTCGTCGGGAAACTCGTCCTGTCCGGCCGACGCAAAAAAAAACTTAATAATAATAACTATAATAATAATAATCAACCAGAAAACCCTAAACCCTAAAACCCTAAACCCTAAACGTATACCGGAAAACCCTAAAACCCTAAACCCTGATGAGTCCTTAAACCCTAAGAATTAAGTCCTTGAAACCTGATAAGTCCTTAAACCCTAAGACCTAAAAACCTAACCCTCATAAGTCCTAAACCCTACAACCCTAAACCCTAGTAGGTCCTAAAACCCTGGTGAAGGCAACCCCTGCTGGAACTCTGCCCCGCGCGGAAAACCCTCTGAAACAGCCTGGGGAAGCCCTGGCCGGGAACCCCTAACCAAGGGTTAAGGCTTTAAGGTTTAGGGTTTAGGGTTTCGGGTTTAGGGTTTAGGGTTTCGGGTTTAGGGTTTAGGGTTTAGGGTTTAGGGTTTAGGGTTTAGGGTTTAGGGTTTAGGGTTTAGGTTTTAGGGTTTAGGGTTTAAGTAACCAACCCAAAAATGGGTGCCCCTAACCTGGCCTGGCGTGCCGTCGGTACCACCCACAGACTCCAAATCAAGACTTTGTGACCGAAGCCCCCTAAACCCTAAACCCTAAACCCTAAACCCTAAACCACTGGCTGGAAGAAGTTTTTTGGAAGTATGCAAGCGATTTGAGTTTAGGCCTAAACCCTGAAAGGACTAGGTTGAGGTTGTTTTGCCGCCTGAGACGGCGTGGGGTGGGACATAAGTATTTGATGGCCCTCCCCAATCGGAAACTAGCTGCCCTTCGCACTTCACGAAGCGTTCGAAGCTAATCTGCATCCCAACCTCCACAGCTTCTGCGGAACTTCTGCACCTCATCTCACAGCAAATCCTAAACCCTGAGCCCTAAACCCTAAACCCTAAACCCCAAGCCCTAAACCCCAAACCCCAAACCCTAAACTAAAAAAGCCGGAAACACCAAACACCTAAATTGAAGGACGAGCCCAAGATCAAGAGCCCTTCAACTACCTCTCGGAAGCTTTGGGTTGAGGGTTGAGGGTTTAGGGTCTAGGGTTTAGGGTTTAGGGTTTAGGGCTTCGGGTTTGGGGTTTAGGGTTTAGGGTTTAGGGTTTAGGGTTTAGGGTTTAGGGTTTAGGGTTTAGGGTTGAAGGTTTAGGGTTGAGGGTTTAGGGTTGCGGGTATAGGGGCACGCCACGCCTCGTCAGAGCTCACGCCTTCAAGGTCGGAGATGTCCTTTTGCATAAAGCTTCGGGTGTAGGGTTTAGGGTTTAGGGTCTAGGGTCTAGGGTTTAGGGTTTGGGGTTTGGGGTTCAGGGTTTAGGGTTTAGGGTTTGGGGTTTCGGGTTTAGGGTTTAGGGCTTAGGGTTCCGACTCACTGGCATAAAGCTTCGGGTGTGCAGCTAGCAGATACATCATGCGACATGTCATGCAACTAATTCATGCTTCAGTTCTTTCTGTCTCTTCTTAGTTTGTCTTGTAATTGTGTAGTACACATTATTTGTGTCTTCTTGTGAATGCGGGTGTGCATACTTTTGCTATTGTTTTTTCCAATGGTGGGGAGTGTGTGTCTAGGGTTTGAAGGGCGGGGGTCCCAGGCAATGATGGAATCTTGAATAATCTCTCTGTGTACCCTCAAAACAACTGTATAATCCCCCCCCCTTAAAAAGGATTCCGACAAGGGCCCCTGCCTGATGTTTGGAGAAAGAACCCTAAACCCTAAACCCTACACCCTAAACCCTAAACCCTGAACCCTAAACCTTAGGGCTCACGGGATTGAGGAACCTTCCTTTTGGGGATGGTGGCGTCTCCCGCTTCAGGGTTCACAACTAACCGAGGAAGAACGAAGCCTGAATCCGAAACCCCAAAAATCCCCTCACCTATTGGTCTAACAGGGTTTAGAATGGTTCCAACCCTAAACCCTAAACCCTAAACCCTAAACCCTAAACCCTAAACCCTAAACCTTAAACCCGCATCATGGGTTCCCCTACTTCCCCCGTCTGTACTACCCCCCAAGGTCCGCCCCATGATTCAGGCTTTTTAGGGATAAGCCTAATTAGGGTTTAGGGTTTAGGGTTTAGGGTTTAGGGTTTAGGGTTTAGGGTTTAGGGTTTAGGGTTTAGGGTTTAGGGTTTAGGGTAAGGTTGTTTAAGAGGAACCTTACATACCCGACAAACCCCAGGGCCCGTACTTCAAAACCCTGTAAAATATGAAGGGGTCGTGCAACTACCCGTAGATATAGCTTCGAAGCCCAACCCGAAACCCTAAATCCCAAACCCCAAACCCTTAACCCCAAACCCCAAACCCTAAACCCTAAACCCACCCCCCGACCCACCCCCTCCCCCCCCCCCCAAAAAAAAGCCTCCGAATCTGTGGCCGTGGAGGCTTCGCTCTTCGAATCCGGGTCGCCTGAAGTTCCCAAAGGAGGGCTTCGGATGCCCAAGGCTTTTGGGAGTTTAGGCTGGTAGGGATTAGGGTATAGGGTTTAGGCTTTTGGGGATTAGGGTTTAGGGTTTAGGCTTTTGGGGATTAAGGGGTTTGGGGATTTAAGGGTTCCTAAACCCCGAACCCTAAACCCTTGGGTGGGGGGGGAGGGAACTGTAAGCTAAGGGGTCTCCGGCTCTTCTGTTTTTGTTGGCTTGTTTTGATGGACCCTAAACCCTAAACCCTAAACCCTATACCCTAAACCCTAAGCCCTAAACCCTAAACCCTAAACCCAAGACTCTACACCCCAAACCCCAAACGAGCTTTCAGAGCCGTCGGGCCTTCTTTTTCCAACTGAATGAGGGCATCCCAAAGCTCCTTGCAACAGAGGCTTTTAGGGTTTAGGGTTTAAAGTTTAGGGTTTAGGGTTTAGGGTTTAGGGTTTAGGGTTTAGGGCTTAGGGCTTAGGGTTTAGGGTTTAGGATTGAGGGGTTTGATACCCCTTAGGCAAGGAATTATTTCGCAACATGGGGGGTTTGGGGCTCAAGGTTGTTGAGGAATCTTCAGTAAGGACTTTGCCCTGATCAGGGGGGATTGAAGTCTCAGGACTTGCTCGGTGATTGATGTTTCGGGGTTTGGTGGTTGGGGGTTTAGGTTTAGGGTTAGAGTTTAGGGTTTAGGGTTTAGGGTTTAGGGTTTAGGGTTTAGGGTTTAGGGTTTAGGGTTTAGGGTTCAGGGTTCAGGGTTTAGGGTTTAGGGTTTAGGGTTGTTTAGGTTTAGGGCTTAGGGTTTAGAGTTTGGGCAGCGGGATGGAAGGCTCAAGGCTCAGGGAGTGTCATCCTTGTGGGCTCGAAGCGTAAATCCATAGAGGCAGGCAAGTAGGGCCTTAATCTACCCAGGGGTTTAGGGTTTAGGGTTTAGGGTTTAGGGTTTAGGGTTTAGGGTTTAGGGTTTAGGGTTTAGGGTTTAGGGTTTAGGGTTTAGGGTTTAAGATTTAGGGTTTAGGGTTTAGGGTTTAGGGTTTAGGGTTTCGGTTTAGGGTTTAGGGCTTAGGGACCTTTAAACCCAACACCTTGAACACTAAACACTTTAAACCGTAAGCCCAAAGTCCACCCCAATCCCGTACACACCCCAAACCCTAAACTTCCTAAGCCCCAAAAAACCCCTAAACCCTGAACCCCAAATACCCCAAACCCTTAACCCCAAATACCCTAGACACCCTAAACTTCCTAAGCCCCAAAAGCTCCTAAGCCCTTGTTCCTCCACCCCCACAGATTCTCCCTACTTTGGAGTAAACCGCAAAGGAAGTATATACTTTTTCGGTTTTTAGGTATAAGTAGCCAGAACGGGAACCCAGAACCAAAAAGATATTGAAGCACAGTACTCGAAAACCCTAAACCCTAAACCCGAAACCCCAAACCCCAAACCCTAAACCCGAAACCCCAAACCCGAAACCCTAAACCCTAAACCCTAAATCCCAAACCCGAAACCCTAAACCCCAAACCCCAAACCCAAAACCCCAAACCCGAAACCCTAAACCCTAAACCCCAAACCCTAAACCCTGTACCCCTTAACGGTTTCTACCCCGGCCTGGATGCGGATAGACTCGGCTCCCAGCTTCGCGATGCTGGAAAGCTCCTGAGGGGCCCGAAACCGGCCGGGGGTTTAGGGTTTAGGGTTTAGGGTTTAGGGTTTAGGGCTTAGGGCTTAGGGCTTAGGGTTTAGGGTTTAGGGTTTAGGGTTTAGGGTTTAGGGTTTAGGGTTTAGGGCTTATAAGGGTTTAGGGTTTGGGGTTTGGGGCTTGGGGCTTGGGGCTTGGGGCTTACAGTTTAATCAAGGGCCGCCATGCGCGCTGTCAACATACTTGCTAAAGGAAAATATCAGGAGCGCGTCTTGGCGCGGCGCGTAAGAGGTCGCCAAGCTGAAGGTCTTTCTTGAGCACTATAGGGGTCGGACTAATAGTGGTCCCTTAGGGTCCCTGTGTGCTTATACGAATTGGCCGACAATTGTTCCGTACTGCGACTTTCAAGGACCAGTCCTAAAAGGTTTAGGGCATAGGGTTTAGGGTTTAGGGTTTAGGGTTTAGGGTTTAGGGTTTAGGGCTTGGGGTTTAGGGTTTAGGGTTTGGGGTTTGGGGTTTGGGGTTTGGGGTTTGGGGTTTGGGGTTTGGGGTTTGGGGTTTGGGGTTTGGGGTTTGGGGTTTGGGGCATGAGGCTCCTTTCCGAAGTCCATCATGCCACTCATAGTGTGGTTGAACAGGGCCTGGCGTTGAGACGCAGCCCTACACCCCTTGTATAAATCCAAACCCCAGACTATTTAGCCCCCTAAACCTGAGCCCCAAACCCAACAAACTCCCGTCTTAACAAACCAAAACCTACATTCCTCGCAGATTATTACGTACTATGAAACTGTGAGTATAGGGGCATGCTTGATTAGGGTTCAGGGTTTAGGGCCAACTTTAGGGCTTAGAGTTCAGGGTTTAGCCCCCGCCCCCTTCCCCCAACGAAGTGGCAGGGGGGGCAGAGTCGCTGAAGTCTTCTCAAGAGGTGGCGACCCAGAAGCAAAAGAGCCCCGGCCCGCTAAAAAGACTTTTAAACTTCAGCGCCCACGGGGCACACAAACGCTGAAGTCTATGCCGCACCATAGCTTTCATGGACTTTACCTGGGGTTGTGAATGGACTTGGCCAGGACAGGTCAGAAAAGATAAGCATGTTCATAGAATTTAGCTTGCAAGGTGAATTGCGCGAAAATTATGGTGCTTCTTTCCGACCGGTTTTGGCCAAGTCTACCAACATTACAAGTCAATCCAACTACAGAGGCCCTAGCTTCTTCGCCAACCCACCCCCCCCCCCCCCCCCCCCCCCCCCGCAGGTTCGTAAAGCTTAGGCCTCCATCTTCCTGCTTGCCGCAATACTCAACTTGTTGCAGCATTGGAACCCCGGTCTCTAAGCAGTGCCGGGCTCCGCAATAGACAACGCACCTAAGGAGGCTTAGGGGGCCATTTTTTGCATCATGGGGTCGACCAACAAGCGACCTTTAGGGTTTAGGGTTTAGGGCTTAGGGTTTCGGGTTTCGGGTTTCGGGTTTAGGGTTTAGGGTTTAGGGTTCAGGGTTTCGGGTTTCGGGTTTAGGGTTTAGGGTATAGGGTTTAGGGTTTAGGGTTTAGGGTTTAGGGTTTAGGGTTTAGGGTTTAGGGTTGAACCCAAGGAGTCCCAGAACACCTTGAAGCCAAGGAGCCCCGTAGAACTGAGGTATCTCTCAATCTCAATGCCATTCGACTTTTTTCACCACCAACCCGCTACACTGTCAACCCATACATCCTCGATCCTCAACCCTAAACCCTAAACCCTCAACCCTAAGCCCGAAACCCTAAACCGCCCGAAAGCGGCATGAGGCCAGTGCTGACCAGGAGCATGCGACTGGTGGATATGTCCGAAGGTCACGTCCCCATTGAAGTACCTGGTTTAGGGCTCGTAGGGCTCAGGGCTTAGGGCTTCGGTTTAGGACTGGGGGTTTAGGGCTTGAGGCTTTTTCCCCGCAAAGCTTTCTTCCCACAAGCGTCGCGAAAAGTTTTTCAGTGAGGATTCGACTCTTCTCGTGCGTTCCATCTTGTTGTCCTCTTGTCCTGCTCTTCTCTTGCTTTTCGTTTTGTTTTTTGTTCTTGTGGGTTCTTTATTCCGTGTTTTCTTGTGTCTCCTTTCCTCTTCAAGTGAATTGGAACTTATGTAGAACTTGTAAGAAGTAGAGGTTATGAACTTGGACATAACGTACCACGTTCTCAATTTCCTTTGCAGCAGATCAAGGGTTGTGCCTCTCGTTGTCCTTGCGATTGTCTTTCAGGTCCTAAAGATTCCCCTTAATGAACCCTTAATATGGCCCTTATATTCCCTTAGGGATCCTTAAAAACGAGTCAGGTTGCAAGGCCTCGGAAGTACATAGGGGTTTCCGAGAATCGGGGTACCCGTTTTGGGGATCCCTTTCAGGGGCTTCGATTCGATTTGGGGTATAAAAGGCGTACCCCAATTTTGGGAAACACCCATGTAAGCGGTGAGTAGCTATGGCAACAACGAGACGATGGTCACTCCATCAGGCAACTTCTCTTCTCGAGAGTAAGCTACCTGGTGTCTCCATACAGAACTGCTAAGAAGAGCGGCGGACATGTGATACCATGATTCAGAAAATTTTGGACAAGGCCTCAAAGTCTGCAATCTCTTTAAACTCAGAGAGAGAGAGATATATATATATATATATGCACATATATATATATACATATATATGCACATATATATATATATATATACATATACATATATAGATATATATATATATATACATAGAGAGGTCGGGAATCAATGCCTGAACTTGAAACTCGGGTCAACCCAGAGACACCACTACCCCTTAACGAAGGAAGAGTCATCATATTCGGGCTTTGGGTTTAGGGTTTAGGGCTTAGGGCTTAGGGCTTAGGGTTTAGGGTTTAGGGTTTAGGGTTTAGGGTTTAGGGAAGAGTCATCATATCAGGGTTTAGGGTGTAGGACTTGGGGTTTCGGTTTTGAATCCCTATCATAACTTCATTAGTGTTACTAGAGTCTCTGTAACTACGTACCCCCCTACGAACCCCTAAGCCCTAAGCCCTAGACTAGGTCTGGGCTCCGAAAGAATAGCCCCCGCACACACTATAGGGGCTAAACGATGAAATCGGATTATGGGGGGTCCACTATAGTATAATCAGAAAGGGGCCATAAGGGAACATTCTTAGTAATTCTTGCGACCCCTATATTACCCCTAAACCCAAAACCCTAAACCCTAAACGACCCCACTGGTACCCCCCCCCCCCCCATATGAGAGGGGCACAAGGGCGCCACGATCAGGCTCGGGAGCAGCTCCTTCAGCTGCGGACTTAGGGGGGGTTTAGGGTGTAGGGTTTAGGGTTTAGGGTTTAGGGTTTAGGGTTTAGGGTTTGGGGTTTGGGGTTTAGGGTTTAGGGTTTAGGGTTTAGGGTTTAGGGTTTGGGCTTTAGGGTTTAGGGTTTAGGGTCCGCCGACCCTGGCGGCGTGTTGGATGGGAAAAGGAGGTGAAAACCTCCCTCTTTCCCTCCTTCCCACCCCCCCAAAACGCGGGGGGGGGGGTGGGGGGGGTCGGTGCACAATTTTTTCGTGGAGGACGGCGCCACCCGCACAGCGTAAACAGGCGGTTCAGCACAGGGGGGTAGGGGCGCCCTCAGCAAAATCAGCGCCCACCCCCCACCCCCCCCCCCCCACCCCCCCCCCCCCCCCCCCCCCCCCCCCACCCCCCCCCCCCCCCCCCCCCCCCCCCACCCCCCCCCCCACACCCCCCCCCCACCCCGCACCCCCCCCCCCCCCACCCCACCACCCCCCCCCCCCCCCCCCCCCACCCCCACCCCGCCCCACCCCCCCCCACCGCCTGTCTTTTTGGCTTGCGCTTGTCCTGACCCCCCCAACGTTTCAACGTTTCACAAGAACTCTGCCGAGCAGGCTGGGATAGACCTCTCAACTATGCTCCAGCGGGGTCGGCGGCTTGAGCCGGAGGCTCTTAAATTAGGGTTTACTGCGGGGTGGGTTGCGCGGCCTGCTGGAAAACCAAATGTCTATGGGATTATAGTTATAGAGGGGTCAGGGCCAATAGAACTCAAGAACTTGTCCCAAATCAACCCCAGCCTAAGGTTTAGGGTTTAGGGTTTAGGGTTTAGGGTTTAGGGTTGAGGGTTGAGGGTTGAGGGTTGAGGGTTGAGGGTTGAGGGTTGAGGGTTGAGGGTTGAGGGTTGAGGGTTGAGGGTTGAGGGTTGAGGGTTGAGGGTTGAGGGTTGAGGGTTGAGGGTGGAGGGTTGAGGGTTGAGGGTTGAGGGTTGAGGGTTGAGGGTTGAGGGTTGAGGGTTGAGGGTTGAGGGTTGAGGGTTGAGGGTTGAGGGTTGAGGGTTGAGGGTTGAGGGTTGAGGGTTGAGGGTTGAGGGTTGAGGGCTGGGTTGAGGGTTGAGGGTTGAGGGTTGAGGGTTGAGGGTTGAGGGTTGAGGGTTGAGGGTTGAGGGCAAAGGTTTCCACAAATGATCCTCTGAAACGACAACCGGACAATACCTAATTTCCCAGGGCCTACCTACACATAACTCAATCTCTAAACCCTAAACCCCGCAGTCCTTTTGGCGTCTCTGTTCTGGGTTTCAAGTTTAGGGAATCTTGGTTAGGGTTTAGGGTTTAGGTCTTACGGTTTTGGGTTTGGGGTTTTGGGTCAACCCATATAACTACAGAGTACGCTGTTTAGAGTGCCGTGCTGTAAACGCAACTGTGTCCAGAAACACCCTTGAACCTAAACCGAAACCCCCAAACCCCAAACCCTAAACCCTAAACCCTGAACCCTAACCCTAAACCACGAAACCGCACCCGAAACTTGATAACCTTCAAACTTGATGGCTCTCAGTACGGAAATTGCCAATGAGCTCCCCTATCCCTTTCCGGGACTGTATAGGGTACTTAGTTCTCCAAAATCCTAAACCCTAAACCCTAATTCCTAAACCCTAAACCCTAAACCCTAAACCCTAAACCCTAAACCCTAAACCCTAAACCCTAAACCCTAAACCCTAAACCTAAACAAACCCGAAACCCTAAACTCTAACTCTGAGCTTGAACTTCAACACCAACCAGGTCCATGCCCATGTGCGAGAGGTGGGAGAAGCCGTGGAACAATACCTCGATACCTTGTAGGGGGTTTAGGGTTTAGGGTCTAGGGTTTAGGGTTTAGGGTTTAGGGTAAGGTTTCAGGGCTAAAGGTTTAGGGAAGGTTGAGGGTTTTGGAGAGCCTGGGGCAATCCCCAAAACCCGAACCCTTAAACCCTACTCTACTCCACAAGCGCTACCATATCCTGCCTGCACTTCTGAAAGCCCTCTTCCCGCGTGACCCCAACACGGGGTACAAGATTTGGGGTAAACCCAGCCAGAAGAGCTCAACTGACAGTTGATAGGTGTTAGGGTTTAGGGTTGTTGGTACTCAAAATTACACCCCAAATCCTAAACTCAAAGTCAGAGTCCGTGCGGAAACATGGGCTACTACAGGGGCCTTAGAAATTAAATTGGGGTGCTGGGGGTTATTCTAGTATAGGCTACATAGGGACCATAAGGGAATAGCAGTCGTGTAATCTTTCCGACCCCTACATAACTTTCTCTAAGGGGGGTTCAGGGCTTCTAGGGCTTTTAGGGCGCTTAGGCCTTTTAGGGTTTTGAGGGTTTTTTGCT